CGCTGCGCGGGGAGCTGCTGGACGCCAAGGGCTGGCACGCCAGGAAGTGCGGACGCGGAGACAGCAGGCAGGGATTGCCCACACAACTCCCTGCGGGACTGGAGTGCGCCGTGGCACTACGCTTCGGCTGGCCACCAGGCCAAGACCGAGCAGCGCAACCCCGCTTGGGACCGCCAGCACCTCGACATGGGCGTGTGGGAGGAGTCGACCTTCGACGTGGCCACGCGCGACCCACCTACCAAAGCCCCCACCTACGTGGGCTGGTCTGTCATCTGCGAAAACAGCGACAACAACGCTCACAAGCAGGCCAAAGGCTCGCACGGATGGCGTGGCGGCTGCCCAGGCGGTCGACAGAAAACGGACGCGCTATCCCCCGTCCACAGGGGAGCTGGTCCAGGCTGTCTTGGAGTCCGGGGGACAGCCGGCTGACGCGGCTGACGAACTGGCCTTCGTTCGCTCTTATGGCTGGGATTTGCAAGAGGCCGAGCGGCCCGCTGTGATAATCCTCGCCACTTGGCGCGGAAGATCCAGCGCAGCCTGGCACTTGGCAACGCCAAGATGCTGCTGAGCGCGGCGTGAACAGCCAAGCGTGAGCACCACCTGCACGAGCACCACCACTACCACCACCAGCACGACCACCACTCCCACCACCACGACCACCAACAGCTCCGACACAAACACCGCCACCACCAGCCCGACGACCACTAGCACAGCCACAACCACGAACAGCCCGACTACCATGACGACCCCACCACGACCAGTGCGGCCGCGGTGCCCCGCACGATCACTACCACTGCCCGCACGATGAGCAATCGCACGCCCCCCACCACCAGCACCACGACCGCCGCGACCGCGACGACCGCCACGCCCTCCACCACGACCGCCACCAGCGAGCCTACCCACCACCACCTTGACTAGCGCCTGCTCACCGCCCCCTTCCCCCCCCTGGCCCCCTCCCCTCTCCCCCCCCCCCTCCCTGCCGCAGCGGGCGCCTCGTGTGCCCCCTTCCGCCTCCTTTTTCAGCCGCTACCTCCTACGGTTCCAGCGTTGCTGCCCCGCGCCAGCTGGCTTGGTCTGGTACCAGGGGGCTGCGGCCAGCTGCTCTGCCCGGCGAGAGAGAGAGAGAGAGGGAGGGAGAGAGAGAGACAGAGAAAGACGACACCCCAAGAAAATTGACCTGCCGAGGGGGATGGGCCAGTGGCGCAGAACAAGCTCAGCTCGGCACCTGTAAAGGCCCATGCTTAAGATCAAGCCATCGCTGCTCCAAATCACCTGTCGGTGCAACTTTCCTTTTTCCGACGCGAAATCAGTGTTCTTGGCGACCCGTTGCTTGCCAACATTCAGGATCCTTCGAGGCGTCCCGCGCTACAGCAGTTTGAGATGCGGGGCCACTCAGCTGTCAGTGCCCGGTGTGAGGCACCGTGCATCAACGCAGAAACAACGACACTTTGGAGAAAGAGATGGGCGAGTGCAATAAAGGAATTGTGGGAGGATGGATGAAGGCATGCGGAGGACAGACGAGGAGAAGGAAAAGGATGGGAAGAGATGGGGAGGGGAATAAGAATGACTACGCAGAAGATGAGGGGTTAATGTGGCGGAGATCTGCTGTTTGACATCGGCGCTCGAGCAGGCACGCCCCGCGGCGCCGCGGAACGCGTTCGGGCTTGCAGCGAACAACCAGGCAGCGCGGACGTTTGCTACGCGCGTGCAACAGCAACTGACGAACGACCCCATGGGAAGCATGTTCACTTACGGCCATCGGGTACTTGCCAAAGGTGGCCCAGACTTGCCCCGAAAACCCCAGCATGTATTACCTAACGTCACGAGTGGCAGTATCCGAGGTGTCCAGGGGGGTGGGGTCCCGGGGGGAGCAGGTTGCCTCCCAGATACGCACCCCCCCGGGGCGGTTCCAGGGCCCAGGCAAGCTCCAAGACGCGGCAAGAGTGCTCCAAGAGGCTCCCAAGACGGTCCTTGAGGGCGCCGAATCGCAGAGTTATCGGTCCAAGACGCCCCAGTAGCCTCCAGACGGCTCAAGAGGCTTCCAAAACGCCCCAATCGGCTTCCACGAACACTCTCAAGAGGGCCCCCAGGGGCAAACATCATAGACGTGCTTTCTGTTTTTGAGATATTTTGGCGTTCTCGCCTTGTCGGCTTCTCGACGCTCCAAGACAGCACAAGGCCCCCAAGATCGCCCAAGAAGACTCCAAGACGGTCCCAAAACGACCCAAGAGGGCCCCAAGACCGCCGAGTATGTCTCCAAGACAGCCCAAGAGGCCCCAAAGACGGCTCCAAGAGGAAGGTCAAACGGGGCACCCGAAAGGATATTTCGAGCCCTCGGCCTGAGAGGCTCCTAGGAGGCCCCAGATGTCCCCAAGAAGCCTCCTAAAACGCCCCAAGAGGCCCCCAAGAGACCCCCAGGAAGCCCCAAGAGGCCCCTACGAGGCTCCCAAGAGACCCCCAAGAGCCTCCCAAGAGGCCCCAAAACTACCTCCAAGATACCCCCGAGAGCGCTCGTCGTCGTCGAAATCGTCGTCGTCGTCGTCGTCGTCGTCGTCGTCGCTGCCGCCACCGCCGCCGCCGTCGGTGTCGTCGTCGTCGTCGTCGTCGTCGTCGTCGTCGTCGTCGTCGTCGTCGTCGTCGTCGTCGTCGTAGTCGCCGTCGTCGACGACGACGACGTCGTCCAGGGTCGGCGGCACCGGCCGTAAGGTCTATCCAATAAGGATCCAATAAGGATGACCACGCAGAGGATGAGGGGTAATGTGGCGGAGGATAGAGGGGGAGATTGATGTGATGAAACCGCAGCAGAAAGGTGGGAGAAGGGACCTTCGAGAATCTACGGAGAGCGGGTAGGGGAGAGGATGCAGGATGGGGGAAGGAGGATGGGGGGTAAGGGGGAGGGAAGATGAGGCAGGACAGAGGGGGAGAGGGAGGATGGATGAAGATGATGAGAAAAGGAGGATGAGGAACAGGAGGATAGGATGGAAGATGGTGGTGCGCAAGGTCACGAATGTGCCTCTCGCCCCTCCTCCGAGTTGCTGAGGAAGTTCATAACTAACAGGAACTGCGCAAACTCGATGAACTCCTCCCACCCAAATTTCTCATGGCCCCTCCCTGCTCCCCCTTCACGTCCCACTGCCTCCCGCCTCCTCCTCCCCCATCTTCTGTTTCCTCATCTTCCTTCTCCTCCGATCACCAATGCCATTTCTCTTCCACCACTTCATCCCCGTCCCTCTTTTTCTACTCCCCCCCCCCACATCCAATGGATGGATACCTGAGTATTCCCCATATCCACCGGATGGGGTTCTTCATACTCCCCATCTCTAAAGGATGGGGTTCTTGAGATTCCCCATATCCAAAGGATGAGGTTCTTGTTCCCCAAGGATTATCATTATTCCCCGTGTCCATGGGATAGGCTTTCATGTGACTTCCCGTATCTAACGGGTGGGGTTCTCCCCCCATATCCAAAGGACTGGTACTTTGTGCTTCCCCACATTTAAAGGATGATATGCGTGTCATTACTCTGACTGCGCCGAGGACCCACCCAATCACCTCCCTCCTCTTCCTTCCTATGCTTTGTGATGGCTCAGTCGGAGGTGAGGGGGTGAGATCGAAGTGGAACGGAGAGCCACCCTACCGGGAAATCGATTTCGGTTTCGTGTTAGTGCTCTGTACTCCTCCGCGCTCCTGCGGTGCCCCATTCTTTCCTCTCCGCAGGCACCACGCAGGAAGTTCAGGTAGAGCATGCGGGCGCTCCTTAAAAGGAGCGGGCGGCGGCCGTGCCTGCAGCGACAGCCCCCGGACGTGCCGAGAGCCGCCTACGCGAGCACAGCCAGCGGCCAGACGAGGCCCTTAAAAGGCGCACTCCGTCCCCCGAGGCTGCTCACCAGCCCCCGCGGGTGCAGACGGCCGCCGCCGCACGGAGCGACAGCGACCTGCAGCACCCCCAGGAAGCCCTCTGGAGCTCAGATCCCAGCGGTGGCGGTTGGGGAGGATGGTGGCCGTCACAGCTACGGCGTCGGTCGCACTTCGCACTAAATACCGGCGTCCGTCTCTCTAGTGCTCTGTACTCCTCCGCGCTCCTGCGGTGCCCCATTCTTTCCTCTCCGCAGGCACCACGCAGGAAGTTCAGGTAGAGCATGCGGGCGCTCCTTAAAAGGAGCGGGCGGCGGCCGTGCCTGCAGCGACAGCCCCCGGACGTGCCGAGAGCCGCCTACGCGAGCACAGCCAGCGGCCAGACGAGGCCCTTAAAAGGCGCACTCCGTCCCCCGAGGCTGCTCACCAGCCCCCGCGGGTGCAGACGGCCGCCGCCGCACGGAGCGACAGCGACCTGCAGCACCCCCAGGAAGCCCTCTGGAGCTCAGATCCCAGCGGTGGCGGTTGGGGAGGATGGTGGCCGTCACAGCTACGGCGTCGGTCGCACTTCGCACTAAATACCGGCGTCCGTCTCTCTAGTGCTCTGTACTCCTCCGCGCTCCTGCGGTGCCCCATTCTTTCCTCTCCGCAGGCACCACGCAGGAAATTCAGGTACAGCATGCGGGCGCTCCTTAAAAGGAGCGGGCGGCGGCCGTGCCTGCAGCGACAGCCCCCGGACGTGCCGAGAGCCGCCTACGCGAGCACAGCCAGCGGCCAGACGAGGCCCTTAAAAGGCGCACTCCGTCCCCCGAGGCTGCTCACCAGCCCCCGCGGGTGCAGACGGCCGCCGCCGCACGGAGCGACAGCGACCTGCAGCACCCCCAGGAAGCCCTCTGGAGCTCAGATCCCAGCGGTGGCGGTTGGGGAGGATGGTGGCCGTCACAGCTACGGCGTCGGTCGCACTTCGCACTAAATACCGGCGTCCGTCTCTCTAGTGCTCTGTACTCCTCCGCGCTCCTGCGGCGCCCCATTCTTTCCTCTCCGCAGGCACCACGCAGGAAGTTCAGGTACAGCATGCGGGCGCTCCTTAAAAGGAGCTGGCGGCGGCCGTGCCTGCAGCGACAGCCCCCGGACGTGCCGAGAGCCGCCTACGCGAGCACAGCCAGCGGCCAGACGAGGCCCTTAAAAGGCGCACTCCGTCCCCCGAGGCTGCTCACCAGCCCCCGCGGGTGCAGACGGCCGCCGCCGCACGGAGCGACAGCGACCTGCAGCACCCCCAGGAAGCCCTCCACCTCTCCCATTCTGGCGAAGCCGACGTACCGCAGGACGTCAGAATTCGGGATGCCGTGGCCGGAGGGCGACAGCCAGCTGGTGGAGGAAGCTCTTGACGCGGGGCGGGAGGACCAGCTGGCTCAAGGTAGCCACGCCGTCTTGGATGTAAATGCGTGCAGTTCTGGCGCAGCTCCAGCGGCCTTTAATCATAAGCTCCCCAAAGTTCCTGGACTTCTGGAACGTCGCGCCACCGCGGCGCAGGGAGTACCACCGGAAACCATGATTGAGGTACAGCTCCTGGCACAGAGTTGCTAGCCGGCGCCGGTGGACTTCCCCACTGACGGTCGACAAGAAATGGTCTGGCGCCATGCCGTGGATGTACAAGGCTATCAAACGAACAACCCAAGGATCATCCAGAGCAATGGTCTCCATGGCCCCCTGCCGCTCTCCAGATTTGCTTCGCGGCAGGCTCCAAACGCCTTGCCCGGACACAATATTCAAAATGAAATCGCGCACGCGCGCATTGAAAAGCTCGCCAGGCCGTGCGAACGTGTCGAAGCCGAGCACGAGGAACAGCCCGGTGTCCTTCCACCCCTTGTTAAACGCCAACTGCGCGAGGGCATACGTGAATAGCGGGGTGAGAGGAGGTGCACGCGCAGGCAGTTCAGCGCGCCCCCACGCTTTATGCAGGCGCCATGCTCCAGACATGTGCCGCCGAACTGCTGGGAGGAAGTGCCCCAGCCCGCTGAGCAAGTCACCGGCCATGGCCTTGGAATCGCCGAGCTCCCAAAGCGCCTCAATGTAGAACTCAAGGAACTGGTCCAGCGCGACCAGCGAGGTAGGCAGCCCACGTTTGGACTCTCTGAGAAAGTTGAAGAAGGCCCGCACGGCGAGCTTATAACGGTCAAGGGTCCGAGGTGAAACAAGTTGGTCCCGCAAACGTCCTCGAGGCTGTCTCTCTGCCACTCGTTGCCCCTTGGTGCGAGGCCGCGCGATGCGGCTCACAAGTCTCCTGGTCATAGCTTCGACCGCCACCGGCTGGGCCCGTCGGCGGGGTTCAGGTCAGTGGGGACCCAGCCGAAGAAGCCCTGGAAGTTGGCGAACCTGGCGAGGGCACCGAGGCGGAGGAGAACAGCATTGAGTTGTCGGGACGACGAGCGGCCCTTGGTCAGCGTACCAATGGCCACTTGAGAATCCAAAAGGATAAGAGTACGTTGGTTATGGTGCTTACTATGCTTGAGCGCGTGCCGCGCCCAGTCAAAGACCGCCGTGGCCTCTAAGGTGTTGATGTGCTGCGAGTTTTTGAACTCGCACGAGAGGGCGACGCGCCAAGTCCACAACCCCGAATCGATGGGGTCACGAGGCCAGGCCGACAAACGGCACGGCATGCCCGCGTCCAGACGCACGTCTGTGCCCTTATGATCCGCCGCCCGCAAGCAAGTACTCTTGCACGAGCTCCGCGGTCGGCTCAAGACGAGTATCGGTGCGGGCGTCAGGCGGAGGGCACGGAGGTGCTGCAGGGGCGCCCCCGTAGCGGGCCGTCCAACCGAGTCCGGTCTGCTCGCGGTGCGCCTCCTGGATATCAGCCCATGCACGCCATAGAGTTCCAAAGGTGGTCGGCTCTGCCAGGCCGGCCGCCTGCCCCAGGACGAAGGGAGTCAGGAGCCGTGCAACAATGACTGCGGGTAGAGCGCCGCCGATGAGGCCGCCCTTGCAATCCTCCACCTGGTCCTTCTTAATGGACTTCTCGCACGGCTTCAAATGCTGAGGAGGGAATCCCAAGATCAAGGATTGCTCGTCCGCGCGGAGCCGCCGAGGCCCGCCAGGGGCCTTGACGAGGTTCACGTCTTCGCACGCGTAGGGCGGCAGCCGGAAGGCGTCCGCCCCCCACCTTCGCCGGGCCTTCTCCGAGCACGCGTCGTGACCTGCAGGGCGCTCAGGGGGTCGAAACCGCTTGACGGGCTGGCAAAACGCATAGAATGGCTCCTGCGCGTCCGCGAACTTGATGACACTGGCCCCCAAGAAAGCCTCCAGGGGCGGCTGCCACGTGGCGACGCCCTCGAGAATCCGCCTGCCTCCCTCCGCGCCTCGATCGATGAGGTCGGCTACTGGCTCGATCGGGAAACCGCGGGCCCAGTGCAGGCATGGGCGCCGGCAACGATGCACGTCGGCCGCCTCCACGAAAACCGGGGCCACGCCAAGAGCCTGACTGATCCGCTGCTCCTCGTCTGCCCCGTTTGTGGATATGCTGCCAAAGAGGTCGAAGACGGCCCAACCTGGGTCCTCCCGAAGCCACGTCGCAAGGCGCAGAGAATCTTCCAGGGCTGCACCCTGGCGCGGAGCCGTCGAATCGCCGCGGCAGGAAACGCCTGCAACGTGCACGACGCGCCGCGCCATGGGGAACCACGCCTTCCAAGTGCGGACGTCCTCCTTCTTGAGTGGGTGCCCGGCCAGCGACCGCGAACAACAGCTCGAGACGCGCGAGAGGCCTCAACGGCAATGACGCCGCAAGGCACGACTCGAAGCAACTCCATGGCCGCGCATGCAGCGCCCATGCAATCGAAGTCCAAGACGAGAAGCACATCTGAGCGCGCGGGGCCTGCGCCATGTCGAAGTACCTGGAGGCGCCGCACGCCTTTCGGCGACAGCCCAGTGGAGACGCAGGCCCCTCCACCAGCGCTCGACGCGTCCGTCGCGACGACCTGCCCGGAAATCGTCGCCCCGAGGTCCGCCCAGACGATCGGCAGCAGGCACGCGATGAGTATCAACTCGTCTCCCGCCATGGGCCCGATCGGGCCCCGGCGGCGCTCCCGTCGGGCTTCGTGGAACACCTCCTGGAATATCGCAAAGTAAGGCCGTGCGAACTGGAGGATGTGGCACACCTTGCCGATGATGAGAAGGAGGTCGTCCCCAGAAACATCATCAGCAGTAACGGCCTCAAGGAGCAAAGATAAAACCGCTGAGCGCCTCGTTGCCGATGTCCCCGCGAGGCGGTCCCCCCCGCGAAGCTGGGCGCCGAGACTCTCCCAGACCGTCGTGCCCTCCGCGGCCTTCGCCGGGTCCCGAAGCACCCCCATGTTCGCATAGGCGTCGCGCAGCGCGAGCTGCTCGCCGGACGCCTTGTACAGGTAGTCCCCCATCTCGGTCTTGAGGACGACTTTCCCCTGGTCCCAGTTGTCCACGTAAACCGAGTACCAGTTCCGGGGGGCCCCGCCGGCCGTCGCGGGCGCTGGGGCCCCCATCCGCACGAGGAGGTCCCGGGAGATGCCGGCCCCGAGTGGGGGCGGAGAGGCGACGAGATTCTCGTGGGCCTCCTGGATGAAATCCACGGCGCTGACCCAGCCCATGGGGCACGCGCGAAGCCTAGGTCGGACTTCTCCGCTCCCGCTGAGCCCCAGTGCCGAGCGAGGCACCTTCTTCTCGAGGACGAAAGCACCGCGCCACGGGCGCGGGACCGCATATAGATGGAAGCAGGCCTTCTGGTCCTCCGAATAGAAAATTCCAACCTCATCCTCAAAAATAGTCATCAGCGGCCAAAGCCCTGGATATCCCATGCGCTTCGAAGCGCCACCAAAAGGCCTCTGGAGAGCGTTCGTGGGCACGAGGTTGACGATCAGCCTCAAGACGCGCTGGATGCCGCGATCGGTCTCGACCCACTTCTTATGGGCTCCGAATAGCCCATTGCGGACGGGCCGCCCCTTGTGAGTCCAGGTCTCGTCGGGGACCTCGGCCTCAATCACGCCGAGCCGGTGCAGATTCTCGCAAATCTTGAAATATTCTGCGTCGGACTCCACGAGCACCTTGGCCGTGGGCAGGGGCTCCTCGACGTCCCTCTCGTCCAATCGGAGCCGCGATGGATCTTGCAGCGCTGCCAGAGCTGGCCCATCGAGCAGCCTTTCGAGGTTTCGAAGCTGCCTCGCCAGCTGGAGGGAGCGCCGGGGCGATAGCCGACCAGCTCAAAGGGTAAGCACGGGTGACCTGGCACCCCCAGTACTCCCCTTCCCTCCGGTCTGCCTGAGAACTAACAGACCCGCGCTGCAGCGGCGGCGACTCGCGGACCCACATCGTGACCTGCCGCCGGACGCGCCCAACGGCCTGGCTCTGCGCCGCGCTCCAGGCCCTCGGGTGCACCATCGTCCTGGTGAGCAGCCTGGGCCCACCAGTGTACAAGAAGTTCGTCGCGGCAAGGGCAAGGGAGAGCCAAGCGAAGATCCCCGCCTCGAGGAGGTCCTCCGACGCCGGTGCCTGGTCGGCGACTCGCGCGGCGCGCACTCGGCGGTACGCATCCGGCGGCGAGGGTAGAGAGACGGGCAGAAGCTCCGGGGCCCCGGCCAAATGCTGCACGGTGCCTGCGGGGAGGAGCCGCACAAGGGTGCCGAAACTCCCAGGTCGGGACTGCACGTGCTCCCACATGATGATCCCGACCTCGACGACCGAGGCCCCTTCGCGGAGCTTGGCCCGGAACCCGCGCGATGCCATGCCCCCGGCTCCTGGAGCTCTGGTTTTGGGCCCTGGTCGAGCGTGAACGTCGTGATGACCCGCCGGACCAGCTCGAGTTCGCGCTCGGTGCCGACCCGCAGAATGCGCCCCAAAAGCGCTTCGCGGGCTGCACCGCGCAGGATTCCGGGGGATGCCAGCCCATCCACGCCGTGGGCCGCCCTGACTGCTCGCCCAGCGGGCCCGCTCGCGCCTTCCAGGAAATCGGCCCACCAGGAACGGGAGATGCCCAGATGCGGCACGCCCCGCCCCACGTAGACGGCTCCGTCGTCCCTGCGCCATTGTGGAAGGCCACCGACGACGACGCAGACGCCATCGATGCAGTGCAGGCTCCCGGGGTCCGAGGTAAGCGGCACGCCGTCGAGGCCGCCGGAATCGCCGTCGGGGCCGCCGAAGCCGCCAGGCGTCACGGCGTCACGGCCGCGAGGCTCCCCAGGCGTCACGGCGTCACGGCCCGGGGGGCCGTCAGCAGGCGCCGCGGCGGCAATGGCCGCGGGGCGGCTCGCCCGGGCGGGGCCGCCGCGGCTGCCAGCGCTCACCTCCTCGGGCTCCGACTCCTGCCTCGGCCGCCGGGGCCGCGGCCCCGCCGGTCGCCCTTGCCGCGGCCTTTTCCCCGGCCCCTCGGGCTGCGCGAGGGGGAACGGCCTCGGCGATCGCGACCGCCTCTGCCGCCCCCGGTGCGCCGGGACAAACTCCGCGACCTCGACCGCCGCCGGCCCGTGCCGCCGCCGCTCGCCCGGCCGCCGCCGCTCGGACCGGGAGCGAGCCCGAGCCGCACCTCGAGGTCCTGCTCCCGCATCGCCTCCCGCAGGTCCGTGCGGCTCCAAGACGACACGTCGGCGGGGGGAAGTAGCTCGACCCACCGGGCGTGGTTCCAGTTGCCCTGGTCCGTGGCTATCTCCAACGCTTTGAAGCGCTGGGTCAGGACGTCCAGAGCCTTCAGGAAGTGGCCGCCCGCGATGAGGCCGATGGCGAGGGTGAGCGTGCGCATCTCGCGGCTGGTGCGCAGCCCGATGTCCCTCTCCGGGCGCGCGGCGAAGACCACGGTCTGGAGGTACATCCGGGCGACCTCGGGGAGAAGCTGCTTCCCGGGGACGCCCTCGGCGGTCCGGAAGCGGTCCGCGAAGTAGACCTGCATCTTCTCGAGCGCGGTCTGGGCCAGCACTCCAGGGCATCTGGCCGCGACCTGCGCGACCGTCAGATGCCGCCGGCGGTCTGCCGCGGTGTCCTCGGCCCCCGCCGGAGCGCGTTCGAACACCTCTTCGATGCCGGTGAGCCCTGAGGCCGACGCAGGCGCATCGCCGCCGCGCTGGACGCGATCCCTGAGGGCGGCGCGGAGCCGCCTGGACAAGTCCTGCGCTGCGATGGCCGCCGTAGGCGGCTCGCGCGCCAACGCTGCCGCACTGCGGACCTGGGCGCGGTCCAAGAGCGCGTGGAGGCGCTCGGCCGCAGGCTCGTCCATCGCGGCCCCGCGGAGGGCGTCCTGCGCGCGAAGGGCAGCCCCCCCGCAGCCACGATGGCCCTGCGGAGGGCGCCCCGCGTCCCCAGCAGCCTCGGGCACCGCCGGCGGGAAGGCCGCTCCAGCCGCCGCTCCTGGGGCGCCCGCGCCGCGGGCCGCGGCCCCCGCGCCAACCGGGGTTGCCGCCGTCCCCAGCCCCAGCGCCTGGGCAAGCTCGTGGAGGTCGTCGTCCATGTCGCCTCCGGGAGCGCCTGCCGCAGCGCCGGGCGCCGGTGGCCTTCCGGCAGGGGCTGCCAGTGGCGGCACCGCGCCAGCCGGCGCTCCACCACCAGCAGCTGGCGCTGGAGCTCCCGCTCCTGCCAGCGCCGTCGCCGCCGCCGAGTGCGCCACCGCAGCCTTCCCGAGATCCCGCTGGCGGCCGGAAAGCCACAGCGTGCTGTCCAGGCTCGCCGCGGTGACTGCGCGCCAGGCCGTGACGTGGAAAACGTCCTTGTCCTCTGGGAGCTCCTTGCAATCCACCTCCGTGCAGAAGTGGAGGGTGACCGGCTTGGCGGAGCCGTAGGTGCCGAAGGTCTTGGTGACCCACCAGTCGAAGTACGCGTCCGAGAACGCGAGCGGCTCGGCCAAGACGACCGGCCCCGCAACAGCCGCGCCGAAACGCGGCCCCAAAACTTGCAGTAGGCCGTATCCTTAGCCTTGACCTGCGTAGTCGTGAACCTCGATCTCCACGACGTCCCCCGAGTGCAGCGTGGCCGCCAGGGCAACAGACTCGCGCCCGTTCCATCCCATCGGCCGCAGGATGCCGCAGGCGCAGGGGGAGAAGCAGAGATGAGGAAGGCCACGCGGCCCTCGGAAGCCCTGAGAGCCGTCACAGCTACGGCGTCGGTCGCACTTCGCACTAAATACCGGCGTCCGTCTCTCTCGTGCGTGCCGTGCGTGCGGGCGAGGCGAAGCTGCGTGGGCGGGCGAGAGAAAGTCTCCTGTGGCTGAGGCGCGGCCGGACCAAATGATTCTCCACCGGGCGGCCGGTGGCGCGCGGTGTCCCGCCGGTGTCCCGCGAAAGCCCCGTGTGGCTGAGGCGCGGCCGGACCAAATGATTCCCTTCCGGGCGGCCGGTGGCCCGCGGTGTCCCGCCGGTGTCCCACGGTGTCCCGCGGTGTCCCGCGGTGCCCCGCGGTGTCCCGCCGGTGTCCCGCGGTGTCCCGCGATGATGATGATGATGATGATGATGATGATGATGATGAGGATGAGGATGATGAATGATGAAATGATGGTGATGATGATGGTGATGCTGATGATGCTGCTGATGATGATGACGATGATGATGATGGTGATGCTGATGATGATGATGATGATGATGATATGAGGGCAATGATGATGATGATGATGATATGCTGATGTTGGTGCCCCGATGATGATGATGATGATGCTGATGATGATGATGTCGATGATGATGATGATGACAATGATGATGATGCTGATGGTGTCCCGATGATGAGGATGATGACGATCATGATGATGTTGATGATCATGATGATGACGATGATGGTGTCCCGATGATGATGAGTATGATGATGTTGATGTTGATGATGTTGATTATGATTGTGTCCCGATGATGATGTTGATGATGATGAGGTTGATAATGATTATGGCGTCCCGATGATGATGATTATTCTGATGGTAATGATGATGCTGTTGATGATGATGGCGTCCCGATGATGATGATGATGTTGATGCTGATGTTGGTGATGATGGTGATGGTGCCCCGATGATGACGATGAGATGCTGATGATGATGTTGATGATGCTGATGCTGATGATGTCGATGATAATGATGAGATGATGATGATGGTGTCCCGATGATGATGATGATGATGATGGTGATGATGATGATAACGATGGTGATTATTATGGTGTCCCGATGATGATGCTGCTGATGATGATGATGACGATGACTGTGTCCCGATGCTGCTGATGATGCTGATGATTGTGATGATGGTGATGATGATGATGGTGGTGTCCCGATGATGTGGATGACCGTGATGATGATGATGGTAGTGTTGATGATGAGGACGGTGTCCCGATTATGATGATGTTGGTGATGATGATGTTGATGTTGTTGTTGATGATGATGATGACGTTGATTGTGAGAGCGGTTGTGATATCGATAGTGAGATCGATAGTGAGACCGAATGTGATATCGATTGTGAGATCGATTGTGAGATCGATAGTCAGATCAATTGTGAGATAGATCGAGTGAGATCGATTGTGAGATCGATCGAGGGAGATCGATCGAGCGAGACCGTTACTGAGATCGATAGTAAGATCGATAGGGAGACCGATCGAGTGAGACGTTGGTTCCCCCCCCGAACCTCCTTATCACCCGAATGGGGGTCGTATAGGTATGTTATGTTATGGTATGGTATGTGATTGTATGTTATGTCCCTCATATCCAAGGGACGGTGTTGTTCTTGTGATTCCCCATAACCAACGGATGGGGTTCTTGTTATTCCCCATATCCAAAGGACGGGGTTCTTGTTATTACTGCTGGAAACGGTGACTACGCACCTCGAGCTGCCAAGACGGCCCGCGCAGGCAACCAAGGACACCAATATGTCCCAATTTGCCTTGAAAACGACCCAGGGCGGCCCCAACGCTGCCAACTATTGATTTCAAACGGCACGAGATGCCTCCAAGAAGACCCCCAAAATGGCAACAAGAAGACCCTCAAAAGGTTCCGACGAAGCCAACAACAATGATCCTTCCTGGGCGCTTGAATGATATTCGCATTGTCGCCTTTTCGGGCTGCCGTCAGCTCAAGACGGCCGAAAGTGAGTCCACGATTGTCCAAGATGCATCTAAGACGGCCCCCAGACGGCCCACGAGCCCCCTACCCCTGTGGGACCCAAGACGGCATCGTCAGGCCATTCGACTGCCCAAGACGGCGCCAAGACGGCCCCAAGATGGCCCCCAGATACCCACCACACAGCCATGAGGGCCCAAAGACGGCCCAAGAGAGCCCCAAGCTAGCGTAAGAAGGCCCCCAGACGGCACAAGAGGGCCAAAGAGGACCCCCAAGACTGCCTCACAGAGGCCGTGACAGCCCCAAGACGGCCCCAATGAGTTTCATCATCACCATTATCATCATCATCATCATCATCATCATCAGCAGCAGCAGCAGCATCATCCTCATCATCATCATCATCATCATCAGCATCATCATCATCATCATCGTCGTCGTCGTCGTCGTCGTCGTCATCATCATCAGCATCAGCATCAGCATGAGCATGAGCATCATCACCACCATCATCATCGTCATCATCATCATCATCATCACCCCCACCACCACCACCACCATCATCATCGTCATCGTCATCATCAGCATCAGCATCAGCATGAGCATCATCACCAGCATCATGATCATACTCAGCAGCAGCAGCATGACCAATCACATCATCATCATCATCATCAGCAGCATCATAAGCATCAGCATCATCAGCATCATCATCAGCATCATCACAATCATACTCATATTCATCATCATCAACATCATCATCACCACCACCACCATCACCATCATCGTTATCGTCGGCATCATTATCATCATCACTATCGGAATCATCAACACCATCAGCAGCATCATCACCATGATCACCCTCACTATCATGAACAGCGTTATCGTCATCGTCGTCGCCCTTGTCATCGTCATCGTCATCAGCATCGTCACTACCATCACAAACACCATCGACATAATCACAATCATCGTCATGGTCGTCATCAACATCATCCGATGCATCCTCACCAGCATCACCCTCATGACCAGCAGCAACATCATCATCATCATCATCATCATCGGCATCATCATCATCATCATCATCATTACCACCACCATCACCATCACCATCACCATCATCAGCAACAATCATACTTATCTTCAATACCATCATCATCACCACCAACATTACACATATCACCAACACAACAATCATCATCACCAACACCATCATAACCATCAACATCATCATCATCATCATCATCATCATCATCAACATCACTGCCATCGTCCTCATAATCTTCATCATCCTCATCACGGCTCTCCCAAACCTGGAAACACGATGTCACCCGTGACGACCTTCCGCGCCCGCTCGAACAGTCGCCACCCATGATGCTGAGCTGGCCCGGTGGTGGGACTTGCCGCAGGCAGCTGGATAGGTGTGTTTCGCGTTTCGGCGTGGCTGCCCGCGCCGTTGGTAGCTCTATACGTTTATCCCTCCCCTCCCTGCACTCGTCGCACTCACTTCATACCCGCTCCTCCAACCTTCTTCCCGCCGCCCCTGAACAACTACAACTTCTGATGACTATTATTCTCTCGTCCTTGACCCTGTCCAGAAGATGTTCGGCCCTCTCCGCGACCTTCTTGCTTGTACACAAAATTGGACAACAATGGTTTTCCTTCTGGCATTTTGCTATCCGATTGCTTCCGGTGTAGCAAAATGGTGCACCCGCATCAGCACGGACCCTCTGCGTAGCTCGACCTGGCTCACTGAACCTCCCTCATCCTCATCCTTCTCTCTCCCCACTTTCCTCATCCGTCTCCCCTCCTTCTCCTCCCTCATTTTCATCCTTCTCCTCCTCCCCCACGATTAAACAATATGAATACTACTCTTCTCTCTCCCCTGGTGGCGTCCGGGAAGTGGCCGGCCCCCTTCGGCGTACTGGTCTTTTACACACAGGATTCCCGGGACGCGGGCTTTCGCTTGTTTCTTGCTAAATGTTGCTCTCGCTGCAGCGCTGGCCTCATTTCCGCGCTTCCGCTCGTTCCGAATCGTGCTCCCGCTACAGCGCTGGCCTCATTTCCGCGCTTCCGCTCGTTCCGAATCGTGCTCCCGCTGCAGCGCTGGCGTCATTATTTCCGGCGCCATGCCACGGCATGGTTCTCGGTCCTTCCAACTAGGCCCCAAAAGCAGAAAGCGATCCTCCCAAAGAAACCATCGAAAATGATTACACGTTCGGTGCCGATGTTTTGATTTGTTGGGCCGGAAGCCGCCCCCCCTCATTTGGGGGCGTCGCCACGCCATGCTATGTCATGCTTCGCGTTAATCTTTAACGCCATTATATATAAATATACCACGTATTGCTATACCATGCGAAGACATCCGATGGTGCGAATAGGGAAGAGATCGGCGCCATGATAAGGGATGCGAGGGAAGGGTAGGACGTCAGATATGACGCGAGCGCACTTAGCTTGTCCTCCTCCTCCTCCTCCCAATGCTCTCCCCCCCGCTTCCTTCTCCTCATCCTCTTCTTCCTTGTTCTATCCTCCTCCTCCTCCTCCTCCATCTCCTCCTCCATCTCCTCCTCCTCCTCCACGGTTCCGACTGATACCTACAAAAGCACGTCTGAACACAGCAACCCGAAGCGTAGCCGTCGCACTCCTCAAGGGTGATGACGCCGTTCCCAGCGGAGTCAAACAGACTCGCGAATTGCCTGAGACAGGGAAGAGGATGAGGATGAGGATGAGGATGAGGATGAGGATGAGGACGATGACGATGACGATGATGATGATGATGATGATGATGATGATGATGATGATGATGATGATGATGATGATGATGATGATGATGATGATGATGGGGAGGAGGAGGAGGAGGAGGAGGAGGAGGAGGAGGAGGAGGAGGAGGGGGACGGGACGGAGAGGGGGAAGAAGTGGGGGAGGAGGAGGGGGAGGGAACAGGATGAGGACATAGAGGAGGCAGAATCAGAAACCACACAGAAACCATCGTGATAAGAGGAAGAGGGATATGGGCAGGCTATCGAGGATGTGAGGAAGGGGGCGGTGAAGGGGCAGGTGAGGGAGACGAGCGCGAAATCCAGACGCGTCCGAGGCAGTGGACGAGCAACTTGAGGGAGGGTGGGGCCCAAAGAGACGCGCGACCGACGGTTGGGAGGGAGAGGAGCGAGGGCAGCTTGAGGAGCGAGGGGAAGGTGGAGACCCGCTCTCCGACGATATGACTTTCAATCCCGTCGTCTTTCCTCGAGATCGGCCTCTGGAGATCGTTCTCGGGACCTGGGGCAATCACATATGGACTCGGGACGAAGACTTGCCCTCCTGGGAGTGGATCCCGGGCTCTGGGCCCGCGCGTTGGGAAACACACATTGTCGGATGCCTGGGAAGGAGGGGGTGCGCAACGCGCGCCCACCATTCTCTCCCCGGTATGTTGGCGCTCACGGTTGACCAAAGACAGAGAAAGAGAGAGAGAGAGAGAACACGCGAGACAAAGAGAGAGAGAGAGATATTGTCATGGAAAGAACGGGCCCTGGCGGAAACGGGTCCTGGACCCCTGGGCCTTCCTCCAGGACCTGCTTTTCGTCCTGAACCGTGTCGACAGTCCCAGGGCCCGTGGAGGGCATGCACGGTACA